CTAGAGATCGTGAGGCTCCCTTGTCACCTAGTTCCTTTGGAAATGTGACCCTTGGGTTTGGCTGTCTAGTTGCTGTCACTGTAATGGATATTAACTGGGGAGATCCAGAAGCGATGCCGCAACCACCTTCTCTGCCGTTTGCTCAGAATCCCTCATGTCCATCTTTTTTATTTTAGCCATTTTAATGGGTATGAAGTGGTATCTGTCACTTTAACTTGCATTTCCCTGATGACTGTGACACTGGACACCTCTATTCATAATGCGGACCCATTTACACATCTCTGGTGAAGGGTCTATTTGAGTATTTTGTCCATCTTGGAAACTGGGTTATCTCTTTCTTATTGAATTTTAAGCAGTGTTTATACACTCTAGATACTAGTCTGTGGCTTCTTCATTTTCTCAATGGTGTCTTGAGCAGAAGCCTTTAATTTTGGTTAAGTCCAATTCATTAATCTTTTATAACTAGTTCTTTTAATGAGTTAAGAAATCTTTGCCTACCCTAAAGTCATGAAGATATTCTCTTTCATTTTCCTCTGAAATCTTTATAGTTTGTGCTTCTGTTTCGATCTATGACCCACCTTGAAAGACACTGTATGGAATAAGGTAGTAGTCAAGTTTCATTTTTGTCCATAGGAATATGAAATTCTCCCAGCACCATTATAAAGACTTCTCTCCCAGTGAATTGTATCGGCTCCTTTGCTGAAAATCAACTGCCCACATATGTGTGGGTCTATTTTTGTTCCACCAATCAATTCATTATCCATAAGCTACTGCCAAAGTCAGTCTTGAATTGGTGCAGTCCTCCAACTTTTTCTTTTCAAAATTATTTTGGCCACTCTTGGTCCAATGCATTCTCATGCAAATTTGAAAATTAGACGGTCAACTTCTACAAAAAGTTACCGGGTTTTTGATGGAGGACAGCATCAAATCTGTAGACCAAATTGTGGAGAATTAACATCCTAACAGTACTGAGTTTTCTAATCCATGAACATAGTACGGTTCTCCACTTAGATTTTGTTTAATTTCTCTCAGCGGTGTTTTGCACTTTTTATTGTACAAGTCTTACACTTAGGTTTTCATATTTTGATGCTGTTGTAAGCTGCACTTACCATTATTTTCCATTTTGAACTGTTTGTTGCTACTATACAGAAGTACAGCTCATTTCTATATTGACCTTTTAACCTCGTGGTCTGGACAAATTCCCTTACTATATTTTGTAGTACTTTCAAAAACTCTGATTTTCTACACACTTGATCACAGTCTGCAAGTAAAGATGGTTTCACTTCTTCCTTCCCAATGTGCACGCCTTTCCTCTCTTTTCCTTGCCTATTGCACTGGCTACGGCCTTCACTACAACTCTTGAATGGAACAGGTAAGCACAGGCATCCTTGCCTTGTTCCTAATCAGTCCTTTTTTATGAGATTTCCTTTTTTCATGAGATTTTTATGAGTTTTTCACAGACGCCCTTCTTCACATTGAAGAATTTTCTTTCCATTCCTACTTTGCTGAGTTTTTGGTGTAAATGGCTGCTGAATTCTGTCAATGTTTTTCTGTAAGATCACATGCCTTTTTTCCTGTACTATTAACATAAGCTATGTTGATTCACTCTCTAATGCTACGGCAACTTTGCACTCCTGGGATAAAACTCCCTTGTTCACAATGTGTCATCCTTTTTATATGGTGCTGGATTTGATTTGCTAATGATTGTATAAGGGAGTTTTGATCCTACATTCACGAAGGATATTGGTCTACAGTTTTCTGGTGATTTACTAATGAATAGTTAAAACTTGCTCATAATACCAAAATTTCTCAGAAGTTTTCCAGAATAGATTGTGTATCTTTGGTAGAACTTTTTCCTCCAGTGTTTGAAAGAATTCATCAGTAAAACCATGTGTGCCTCAAGTTTTCTTTGTGGGAAGGCTTTTAAACTACAAATTCAATGTATTTAATAGGTATAGGGCTATTCAGGTTATCTATTTCTTCTTCTTCAAAGATGGGTAATTAGTTTCTTTTAAGGAATTTGTCCATTTCACTTAAGCTGTCGATTTATTGGCAAAGTTGGCCATAATAATCCCTTACCATTTTTTAAAATAAATTTTTTAAAGGAAGTTTTAGGTTCACAGCAAAATTGAGTGGAAAATATAGAACACACTCAGAGCTCCCCCACCATCAACATCCCACGTCAGACTGGTGCCTGTGTTACAACTGATAAACCTCCACTGACACGTCACCATCACCCAAAGTCCACGGTTTACATTAAGATTCACTCTTGGTTTTGCTCTTCTTTGGGTTTTGACTAACGTATGACATGTATCCACCACTGAAGTATCATACACAATAGTTTCACTCCCTAAGAAGTCTCCGTGCTCTGCCTATCCATCCCTCCCTCTCCCCACCCTGCCAACCACCGACCTTTTACTGTCTTCATGGTTTTGCCTGTTCCAGACTGTCATATAGTTGGAATCATACAGTATGTAGCTTTTTCAGATTGCCTTCTTTCACTGCGTAATTTGCATTTAAGATTCCTCCATGTCTTTTTGTGGCTTGATAGCTCACTTCTTTTCAGTGCTGAATAATATTCCATTATCTGGATGTACCAGTTTGTTTATCCAACCACCTACTGAAGGACATCTTAGTTGCTTCCAAGTTTTGGCAATTGTGAATAAAGCTGCTTATAAGCATCTGTGTGCAGCTGTTTGTGGGCGCATAAATTTAACTCCTTCAGGTAAATATCAAGAAATTTGATTGCTGGATCACATGATAAGACTAAGTTTAGTTTTGTAAGAAACCACCAAACTGCCTTCCAAAGTAGCTGGACCATTTTGCATTCCCCACCAGCATGGAATGGGTGCTCCTGCTGCTGCTTATCCTTTTTAATACCTGTAGAATCTCTAATGAGGTTGCCAATTCATTCCTGATGTTAGTAATTTGTTTTTTGGGGTTTTTGGACAAGAGGTTTATCTGTTTTACTGATATTCTTATCCAGCTTTTGGTTTCATTAATTTTCTCTATTTTTGTTTTCTATCTTATTTGTTCTCATATTTAATATTTCTTCTGCTTCTTTGCTCTTCTAACTTGTTCTTCTTTTTCTATTAAGGTGGAAGCTTAAGTCATTGATTTTAAACTTTTATTTCTTTCTAATATAGGTGCTTAGCGCTATAAAATTTCCAAGTACTGAGTTAGCTGTATCCTACAATCTTTGATATGTTGTGTTTTCATTTCAGCCAGTTCAAATAGCCTTTTGATTTCTTCTTTGACGCAACCCACATGGTATTGGGAAGTGTGTTAGTGGTAGATTTTCAAATATTTGAATACTTTTCCAGGTATCTTTTTATTATTGATTTCCATTACTGTTATCACTGCTATTGATTTATAATATAATTTGCATGAGTTGAATTTATATAAATGTATTGAGACTTTAATATTCTGGAACATGATCTATCTTGGCAAATGTTTCACGTGTACTTGAGAAGAATGTGTATTCAGTTCTTGTTGGGTGGAGCGTTCCATAAATATTAATTATGTCAAGCTGGTTGATAGTATTGTTCAAGTTTTCCACATCCTACTGATTTTGGCTTTCTGTCTACAGTCATGCACCACATCACATTTCAGTGAATGATGGAGCGCATATACAACAGTGGTCCCATAAGATCAGTGCCACAGAGCCTAGGTGTGTAGGAGGCTGGCTATACCAGCTAGATTTGTGTAAGCGCATGCCATGATATTGGCATAACGACAAAATCACTACTAACAATGCATTTCTCAGAATGTACTCCTGTCATTAAGTGACACATGACTGTACTTGTCTTATCAACTATTGAGAGGTGTGTTGAAATCTCTATAATTGGAGATAATGTCTCTCAGCAGTTCTGATAGAACAGTTTTAGTGGCATGTACTTTGAAGTTCTGTTACGAGGTATATAAATGTTTGGGATTATTTCCTCTTAATGAATTGACCCCTTTATCATTATGAAACAACCCTCTTTCTCCTCAGTAATATTCTTTGCTCTGAAATCTCCTTTGTCAAATATTAATATAGGTACTCCAGATGTCTTTCAGTTAGTGTTCAACATGCATACATTTCCCATTTTTCACTTTTATTTTTGTTTTGCTGAGGAAGACTGGCCTTGAGCTAACATCCATGCCCATCTTCCTCTACTTTATATGTGGGATGCCTACCACAGCATGGTGTGCCAAGCGGTGCCATGTCCGCACCCGGGATCCGAACTGGCGAACCCCGGACCGCCAAAGTGGAACGTGTGAACTCAACTGCTGCACCACAAGGCTGGCCTTGTGTCTTCATATTTAAAGTAAGTTTCTTGTAGGCAGCATATAGTGGGGTCTGCATTTTTATCCAATCTAACAATCTCTGCCTTCTAACTGGGGCATTTAGACCCAGTTACATTTAATCAGATTCCATTTGTTGTGATTACTGATTTCGTTGGGTTTAAATCTCCCATCTTGCTGCTTCTTGTCTTCCGTATGTTCCACCTGGTCGTTGAAGTTGAATGACAGATAAAATGTTTAGGATATACTCTTCTCCAACAAGTTTCCAATATGGTGCTTAAAGTGTTTTGTGGTTCAAGATGAAATAACTGAGAAGGAACCCTATACCATGAGACTATGTCTCCTCTGAAATGTAATTTTGGTGGAAAAAAAACATTATATTTGGGCATTTACATTATATACAGATGATTCCTAAATTTCTCTCTCTGAGATGTATCTTCTGAGAGCCTGACCTCTATATCCAAGTGACTAATTGACGACTCTAGCTGGATGTTTCACAGGCAACTTTAATGTAAACCATCCAAATTCACATGCCTTCAGCTTCAAACTCACAGAGTCCAAGCTAAGACACTATGAAATTTCCTTGAGTTCAGGGGCTGCTCCCTGTATTATCGGTTCAGCAGCCAAATCCAAATGTATTTCTTACTATGTATCACATATGTAGGACAACCCAGACCACAGGCCCCAACACAAAAGAGCAGACAAAAAAACCCTAGGTAAATAATCAAAAAGATCTTTTATTTTAAATGTAGATAATACCATAAATCATCAAAATAATTTATAATAGTTAACTGCCTCTTAAATATAATCTCATAAATGATGTCTTCTGAAGTTAAAAGTAATGTGGATTCAACCAGTTTAAAATTATCTATTTAGAACATGAAAATAGAAGTAAAAAAAAGAAATTAACTGTCTCCTATGAAGTCTTCTAAGAAAGGAAATCACAAGTTCCTGATCAGATAAACACCATTCCATTATTAAAGGAAATTAAAAAGAAGCATAAATTAATTTGAATAGACACGTCAATTTCCAGGGTTTTGTCCTTTTGTACAAACCTGACTCTTTACAGAGTTAAAATTGCAATCTGGTTTCCTACCACGAGCAAGAAATTCCTTAACAGCAGCTCAGAAATGACCTCAGTGTCTTGGTGAAACACCCTTCTTCACCTGCTAACGGTCACTCGGTGCTCCCACCTTTAGCTATCTGCTGTCTCTCCACAGGATACGCATAACGAATCACCATTCTAGCCGTGGCGTCCACCTTAACCTTCCAAATGCCACTGCTGTGAGGAAGAGCCATCGCAGATTGCCATAGCGACATGGCCTTTGTGACTCAGTGGATCAACCACCCTCAGGCACTGTCCAACTGACACCTGGTACAGCCGATTCTTCTTCTGAAACAAAGAGGCAGCAAGAAAAAAATACCACCAGTTATTTGCTTTAACTTAAAAAACTTACAGCCAGAATATGGTAAAGAAGATACAGAAATCCAGAAGAGATGTGGAATATTTAAGATTACTTACTTAAGGGACACCACAGACTCAGAACTACCTTCTACCATTCGGGGTAGAGTAAGTCCCTCTGCCATGCTCCCTCACTCAGCCTTGCTGGGCTCCTCACATCCTCCCATCGTCACCAAGCTCCTCACCCCAAAGGTCCACTGCTGGGATCCTCCTGACCCATGGCACTTCATGAGTCGCGGCGGGTCTGAGGAGCGAGTTTCGGACATATCCAGGCAGAGGAGATTATTTAAAACCAATTCATGCTCTTCATTATAAATCCAGACCTAAGGAAGAAAACAAAAGATCAAAACCCCAAATTTTGCTTTAGACTTTGAAATTTAGACTGCACAACACTTCATACATTTGTGGGAGACGAATGGATTTATTCTCTATGATCTCATAAAGCGGGAGCAGATCAATGTACCAGAGTGACGTGGAGGCATTATGAGCTTAGTTATCTGAAAATGGAATGAACTAACGCAGGAGAAAGTGAGGTACAATTCCAGGAAGAAACTTAAGCAGTGGTTGAATTTTGTTAACTGAACTTAAATTGACTGAATTTAATTGAGCACATGACTGCAGATCATTTCCAATGCTAGGATTCCACAATTATATAATGCTCTTAATTCCTAGACTGCATAAGAACTGGAGCGGCCCAATGAGCCTGCTGGTTTGCCTTCTGTGCACAGAAAACACACAAGGCCATCATTTTCATACTTCCCTCATGCATTGGGCAGTGCTGATGTGCACGGGCTGCTGCATCACATTCTCCTGTGGAGCATTATACTCGAATCCCATATCATAATAACATTCAGACACAGATTAGGATTTCGTCTTGATGGCCCAGAAGCAGGATTTTCCTGAGATTTACAAGTGATCTTTCAGGATAGTCTTCTTTATGGTCTCTCAGATTATTTTCAGGAACAAAGAGCTGAAGTTGACCGAAGTGGATGAGTGCAATGAATAACTTATTCTCCAACATGTGCCATCACTAAACCCAAAAGAAATACGTTGTCTTCTAGTCTATGAATTATTTTACTCATTGCTACTTCTACCTTCAGGCCCAAAATGTATGTGTGCTGTCTCCAGTAGCATGAAGAGACTCTCCATCGGTGCTATGATAGAACTGTCTGCGATGCTGCTAATGTTTCATAATCCATGTCCAACATGGGACCCACAGGCCACATGTGGCTACTGGGCATTGGAAATGTGGCAAGTGTGATTGAGGAAACGAATTGTTAATTTCATTTTAATTATTTAAAGATTTTATTTTTCCTTTTTCTCCCCAAAGCCCCCTGTACATAGTTGTGTATTTTCAGTTGTAGGTCCTTCTAGTTGTGGTATGTGGGATGATGCCTCAACGTGACCTGATGAGTGGTGCTACATCCGTGCCCAGGATCCGAACCAGCGAAACCCTGGGCCACTGAAGCAGAGCGCGTGGACTTCACCACTCGGCCACGAGGCTGGCCCCCATTTTAATTATTTAAAATTTAAACAGCCACATGTGGCTAGTGGCCAGAGTATTAGCATAACTCTGCTCAGTCACAACGTAGTACAGATAACAGAGTATAATCCACCTCCTCAAACTTCTCATTTTCTGGAACAAATTTCAGCCATCTCACCCCACTGGGATCTAAACCACCGAAATGTCACTACAATGTAACACTTCAGAGTCTACAACCTCACGCCTCTCATCCCCAGGTATGGCCCCAAAACCTTTTTAAACCATGTTTTTCAGAATGTATAACCTCTTGGATAGTGTGCATGAACTCTCCCAGAAATAAAATGTGTTCTATGAAATTTCAAAGGACACACTCTACGTTAAAAGCCCAAGTGTTCTCTTCGTTCTTGAATGACAGCATCCCACTGCTCAGATGGAAATGAAACTTACGACTTGTCTTGAGCACTGCAGTCCTGAGGCCCCACAGCTGGGAGCTGAGAGCGCTGTTATGCTATTTCATCAGATATAAATCAGTTTGAAACTGCAGTTCCAAACTAAAATAAGTTTTTGCTTATTTTTAGGTCCATTTAATATCATTGAAAAGACACATTCAAACAAATTAAACGAACGAAATGAACTGCAACTTTGTTGTGGTTTCCTCTAATGAACTGCGAAGAATCAGTCAGGAAAACCTGATTCCAGGGAAAACTCCACCGGAGATATCCCGATCCATCCCATGCAGGGTTCATGCTCTTGTCCAGAAAGAGGGTGCACCTTCTTTGCCATTTCTAATAAATTCATATAGCTTTCAATTCATTCTATATAATTCAAATTCATTCTATATAACTGGAGTGTACAAATAATGCTCTTAAACAAAATGCTACCAAGACAAACAATAAGCAGAGGTAGGAAAAATATACAAAGGAGACAAAAACAGTTGTATTAGGTGATCTCTAAAATCATTCCCAAATTAAACCATATAATTTAAAAAAAGTCATATTAAAATCGTGATGTTTACTCCTCGCTTCTCAGGAGCAGCTGCTGGCAGCTCGCCTTCACTGAAGGACACCTTCCAAGGACTAGCTGTGAGCTCAGAGGCATCACTCACCTGATTTGGGTCACCGTAGTCACATGCCTTAAGCACTACTAGGCTTCCCTTTTGACTTGGGCGGCTCTGGGCCACTAGACACTTGTTGGTCTGGAGGTGACAGAGCTGCAAAGGAAGAGACTGTTCTTGACAACCCAGCAAGTGAAGAGAGACCAATGTGAGAAGATTCATTAGAATGCTAGAAAAGGATGTTTTGGATAAAATATGAAAATAGTATTCCAGAGGAATGAATTCCAAAGGTCATAAAAAGATAAGCATTTTTTAATTCCTAAACTCTAGCCTCAGAACATAGGAGCATCACAATAGAGACTTCAAGGTTATAGGTAATTTTAACAATATATGCAAGCAGTGTCAAATAGAAATTCTATCTAATTCTACCTACAAGTTTACTAATCTACTATAGGAGAGGAAAGAAATTAAAATATCACCTCTGTGCTAAAGGACTTTAAAACGAAATTGAGGAAATAAGAACAAAAGGTATAAACCAGACAGCACATAATTCAATGTAATATACAAGCTAGACTAGAGATAAATACCGATTATAAATGCCACAGGAATTCCGAAGGTGAGATCCATAAAAGAAGCAAAGCATCCAGTCTGGGCAAAAGGATTAGTTAAGTATTAAATGAGATCAGACTTGCAAGGCAAGAAGAATAATGGTAAAGGATTTCAACCGAGTGCACACAGACTGGTACCCATTTTCACTTAAAGAGAAAACAATAATAAACATCTTGATGATTTTTCTATATCTTACAAAGTAGAGAGAACAAGAAGGGGAAAGCTCCAGGCTGAATTCTAACCACTTAAGAATCGGTGGCATTGGGAAAGGACCCTGAGAGGAGTGCCTTCTTTGTAACACAAAAGCAGAGAAGACTGGGTAACAATCATAACATCCACACTGAACTTTCAGAAAGCAAACTCTAAGAAATGATTCATGAAAAAGGTACGATCTTACGGCTAGACCTCTATTACAAAACTGAGGAAATTCTATAAGAAACAAAAGGGAACATCTAAAGAAATGTGGTTGATCAAGGGGTTTTCTGCTAAGCTCAGATGATGGCTTGGAACATCGAGTGTGAAATTTCCCTCACACCACCACTCAGACCCTACCCATCTTCCACTTCCTGTCTGGAGTCAGTTCCCAGAGCTGCAGCCAAACGGTCTACAGCTGCCCCATTTCTCCTTTTGTTTTCCTCTTTGGACTGGCCTCTGCTCAAGGAATTTTATACTCACCTATATTGCCTTTATTTGTATATTCACATTGATATCTATCCTCTCGGAAGCTAGCATATAACTTAGAGAAGTCATGCTCTCTCTAACACTGGCAGGTAAAGGTTCTTAATATTAATAGTGAAGATATTAAAATTTCTAAGGTCTTACACCTGAGTAGGGAAATTCGCATAAAGTGAATATAATGGAAGACAAGCTGGAGTCTATCATTAAATATTTTGTTGTCTACAATGTCATTTATTATATCATACAACTTCTAATGATATCCTTTTGTAAAACCACTTTCTTACCCGTCCACGCTGAAGGACTTTGGGACGTTTTGGCCCTCTATTGATAAAAATGGGTTGCTGGGGTTTGGCATTGGGCCCAGAAATCTGCATCTCTGGGTAAATATTATCCAAATACCATTTAAATGATTTACAACCCAATTTCTTCCTCAATTCAACACGCTCGCTGATATTTCCATAGCTTTTGGTCCTCAGATCAGGTCTTAAGGAAAAATACTGCTCCTGAATGTAAAAAAGAAAAATGAAAAAGAAGAAATGGATTTTTGTTTAAAATAAATATTATCAATTATATCTGTGGTTTAAAAAACAACTGAAAAAATGGATTATGAGCAAAAATTTTCCACGCCAGTGTTTTCTTGATGTTGCCAGAAAATGTCATTGGAAAGTTTTCACACAATTAGGTCCATCATTAACAATACCAATAAGACATCTTAAATTGTAAGATACACCCCAATTTCAGAAATGGCAAAACACGTAAAAATGTGCATCTTAGAATCAATCAAACAGGCTACACATGAGATCAGCAGTTCTCAAACTGGAGTCTATCATTAAATATTTTGTTGTCTACAATGTCATTTATTATATCAAGGAAAAACATCTGTGCAGTTGAGTTGAGAGCTAAAGTAGTCGCTTTTCTTCATGTACAAGAATGATGCACACACCATGGTTGTCGAACCAACCGAGCCCCCACTTCAAGGAAAACAACTGATTGCACTGGGTGCAAATGATCAAATTCAGACGTTCCGGTGACAATTAGAATCTCGGGAAACTGGTATCTACCACCACAAGCTTGACAGCTTCCTAGTACTTGACAACTTTTCTGAAGAGCTCAGTTAGTGATATTTATGAGTCTGATGTTTTGGATATTGTATAGTGAAATTTGTCAGTATTTGGAAGAAGTTCACAACCCAGTGGACTATATTTTCCAAATACTAACGCATGATGTTATAAAAATCTGGCATAGGTGAAAGACCATTCAAAGAGCAAGACAGACCGGAAGATTTTAATACAGCAATTTGAAAAGCTCAGTGATAGGATTTCATATTCCACATTGGAACTGACCTTTAAAAGTTATTGAGTTTTGATGTAGTATCAAAAAAGAAGGGCCATAATTTTCTGGACAGCTATTAGAATATTTCTTCCATTTTAAATTACATATTCTCACGAAGTCGTATTTTTTAAAATATATTTAACCAAACAACTTACGGTAACAGGTTGAATGCAGAGATGAGAATGTGGCTGACTTCTTTTTAGCCAGTGGTGAAAAGATTTGCAAACATGCAAAGCTGTGTCACTAGTCTAAGTTTTTTGTTTTGTTAAAAACATGTTATTTATATTAATAGGTAATAAATTTGTTATTGTCTTTAATGAATTAACAAATGTTCACTTTTAACTTCTAACATAGTAGTTGTCAATAGATATAGCTCACACTAACAAACCGTCTCAGCGGTTAAGTTCACACACTCTGCTTCATCAGCCCAGGGTTTTGCCGGTTTAGATCCTGGGTGTGGACACGGCACCACTCACCACACCGTGCTGAGGCAGTGTCCCACATAGCACAACCAGAGGCACTCACAACTAGAATATACAACTATGTACTGGGGGGCTTTGGGGAGAAGAAGAACAAAATATTGGCAACAGATGTTAGCTTAGGTGCCAATCTTAAAAAATAATAATAAATAAATAAATAAAAATGATGTGTGAATTATACCTCAAAGCTGTTACAAAGAAAACATCATTGGGACAGGCCCTGTGGCGCAGGGGTTAAGCACACACGTTCCGCTTTGGCGGCCCGGGGTTTGCCGGTTCGGATCCCTGGTGCGGACATGGCACCACTTGGCAAAAGCCATGCTGTGGCAGGCATCCCGCATATAAAGTAGAGGAAGATGGGCACGGATGTTAGCTGAGGGCCAGTCTTCCTCAGCAAAAAGAGGAGGACTGGCAGATGTTAGCTCAGAGCTAATCTTCCTCAAAAAAAAAAGAAAGAAAACATCATTGAAAGTTGTGTATAGCAGAAGAGACAGAGGGAAGGAATACCACATGTGCAGAATCTAACAGAGGAAGCAGTGGGATTGGTCACAGCGAAGCCCAGTGAGCAAAGGAAAAGGGGCCAGGTTCTGTGGGAGTCACAGGAGAGGGACCAGAAGGAATAAAGAAACTAAAGAAAACAATTTCTTCTGATAGTCGCTGTATCACCTCTTAGAGAGTGGTCACTTGGAAAATTAAAAGAGAACAAAAAATGAGGGAAGCACTGGGTGAAGAGAGAGAAGCGAAATCTAGGGAGAGATGGCCCTAAAGTGAAGGTCACCCAGAGACGCGCAGACGGAAAAGCAACCAAAGCCACCGCACGGAAGGCCCAGCCCATCATTCCTCCTTCTCAGTCAGAAATTTCACCTCACCTTGTATTCGTCCAACCAAACATATGCCAGCCTCAAGGAGTTGTGTGTCATGGTGTCCTGGCCTTCAGGAGAACCATATGGCCGCCTTTTCCGGAAAATATGTCCGACTCTAGAGCAAGGGATGATGAAGAGTTTACCTCCACACATCCAAATCTGGTCAGAAGCAAAATCTGTATTAATAGTTGCCTCGCAGTGCTGTGAAATCAACGTATGAATTCTCATGCAACTTATCTTTACTAAACAGGTGTCTGTGAAACTTCACGAGATGATTTATCCTATTAGATATCAACTCAAACAGAAGACAGTCAAAGGGTACGTTTTAAAAATTATGTCTTTATGATTTTAAAAAACCCTAAATTCCCAAACAATGTAATATTCTTTTATTACTATGTGTGTAAAATCACACTTACCATACGTTGTTGTTTTAACGGATCAAGGAACTTGATCTTCAGGACTTAGGGACAAGGAAAGCCTACTAACTGGTCCTCTCATTTCAGTTTTACGGGTACTTTCTTATAAAATGTACATATACTTTTTTTTTTAGAAAAAAGTTTTTTATTAAATATATAGAATAACCCCAGATTAAGATTCAAAAGATCTTTGTTCTGGTCTAAATTTTGCCCTTGACTATTTGAGTTACTTTATATAGTTATTTCAATTTTTGTGGGACTCAATTACCTTACCTACTGAACTAACAATATCTATTATTCCTTTCAACTTTAAAGTTCTAAAGATTATGTAGGAAAAACTACCTTTTAAAAACACCATGGTTAATGCATTTGCAAAAATTCAAAGTAACCTATGCACAAGGTAGTGTGGTCTTATCTGAAGGGGAGTTCCGCATCTAGACCAGGAGATGGGAGGTGGGGAATGGGGGCGTCTGCTGGAAGGAGAAGGCTGAGTCCTTTCCCTCACTCTCCTCCTGCCTTTTCCAGACTGTCTCACCACCACCTCAGCTCCTTGAGCCACAGACCCCACCCATACTGTCATCTTTCCAATCTGAGAAACTGGAAAAGAGGAGAGATCTTGAAAGGCAAATTTCTTCCTTAGGGTGGAGGTACCTGTATATATAGAGAATTCAGTAAGCTATACATGGGGTGATGACATAATTTATATAAACTGGGCTACTTCTGAAAGTGAAATGGGGACCTATTAATGATTTCTCCAAGAGAGGACAAGCGAACCAGGATGGTCTTGGGTAATGAGGGAAATCTGATCACCCCAACTACACATATCCAGGGTCATCAAATAAGATCAATAAACTGACAGAGAAAGAATAAAACTCTACATTAAATGCACATCTAAATTTATACCCAACCATTCATTACAACCATCCCTTTTAAATGCTTATAAAACGAAGATAAAGCTTCTTATATGCTTTTGACACTTTGAATGGATAGTATCCATATCATAAATTATGGTAAAGTAGCATTCATTAAGGACAATTTGTTAATAAAGATAATCAAAGAGCATTTGCAGAAAATATGGGATGATGGATGAAAATTATATTCCAACACACACAAAGTTAGTAATTAAGCATACAAAAAGATAAAATTACCCGGAATGATATTTCTAAATTTTCTCCTCCCCAGATATCCATGCCACTGTCATACTGTCCAAGCTCACTGAAATACCGTCTGCTCATGGCGAACAGTCCTCCAGCCATGGTAGGCGACCTAGGGAAGGGAAGGATCACCGCACCGAGTCTGTGAGTCCGTTATCTTACCTGCTGTTTGTTTTAAGACATTCAGTGAAGCTCTGGAACATTACCAATAAAAACTAGTTAACCGTTAGGAAACATATTTTATCTAATATCAGGGAATGAACTGGGCCACAGAACTGAATTTTCTAGATTGCTAATGATATGCTAGATACCTGGCAAATGAAGGCTACTTTGTCTAAGTATCAAAAGTACTTTATTATTATGACCATTGTTGACAGAAAGCCACCTGAAATGAATTATTTAATTCCTTTTGACAGTATCATAGAGCCATTGGGATAAAAACTGGACTCCAGGGCCTGCCAATGGGAGACCAGACAAATCTCACACTTTAAATTGGACTCCAACATATTGGACCAGCGGCTCTCAAACAGGATGATTCTGCCCCCAAGCAAACACGTCTGAAGACATTTCCAGCCGTCACAGCTGGCTGACAGGTGCTACTGGCATCTGATGGGTTGAGGCCAGGTCTGCTGCTCACTATCCTAAAATGCACAAGAGAGCCCCCACAACAAAGGATTATCTGGCCCCAGAGGTCAATGCCGCCCAGGCTGAAGACCCTGTGCTGCTGAGAGGCTCTGAGGTAGACTGGCCCTCAGAGACTCAAGCCCAGCGTCCCGTCATCTCACTTCCTGACAGAGGATTAGGCGATCATGGATTCTAGCGTCCCAAGCTGCCTGCCAGAAATGAAGCAAAGTTTTCTCTGCAGAGAGAAAACATCATGCCAGGTATGAATGTATTTCTATAATTTTTCATATATAATATCTGGCACTAAACAAAAAAACCCAAGCAAACAAATAAATAACCAGGCAATCAGGAAGTAGATCACACGAAAGAAAAACCAGAGAAACAATCTACAACAGAAATAGACGTACCGGGTTTCAAACGATGCGGTGATTAGGCAGAGAGCTTAAATAACTGCTCAACGAGTTCAAGCATAAAAGATAAGACTGACAATTTGGCAGATAATTAGGTACTATCAAAAACGAAACCAAATTCATGCATATCTGAAAAACACTTCTGACAAAAAGAGAAAAAAAATGTAAGCAGCCAACGAACGAGAATCCTTTACAAAAATAAAACTGCTGCTGACTTTTCACCAGAGAAAGTGGAAGCCAGAAGGTTCTTGAATGATACCTTCAAAGTCCTGAAAAATATATCTTCCAATCTAGAACTAAAGATTGAGTAAAATTATTCTTCAAAATAAGGGTGAAATAAAAACATTTTCAGAAAAAGACAGAGAGGAATAATCACCAGAAGAAATACTAGATGTGTTCTTTAGTCAGAATGAAAATAATCACAGATGGAAGTTTGTGGAGGCAGAAAGAACACAGAATAACAGAAAAGGGGAAATAGGTGAGTAACCTAAATGAATAATCGTTACATAAAAAATGTCCTGTGGGGTTAAAAAATACATGCATACACACACACACACGTTCATATTTCAACACTATAACTTATGGGGGGATAACTGGAGTATGAACATTCTGAGATCCCTGCATTCTAGAGAAAGCACCAACTTATATTACACTTGGTAAGTCAAGGACGCATGCTGTGTGCTCTACGGTAACCACTGAAAGAAAAGAATGTTTAACATCTAATGACGGGTGGCAGCTGAGAACAGAATGATGATAAATCAGAACTCAGACTGAAAGAAGGCAAGAGAAAAAAGAACTTAAAACAAAGAGAACAAATAGAAAGCAAATAGTACTACTGTAATCATAAATGCAAAATATAAGTAATATCATTGAATGTAATCAGATAAATGCCCTAATTAAGACAATGGTTTTCACATTAGTTTAAAAACAAAACATAATCAAACAAGAGCGACTCCATGCTGCTTACAAGGGGCACATCTAAAGATAAGACCACGGAAAGACTGACAGCAAACACGAATCAGAACAGAGCCAGAACAGCCACATGAATGCCAGACTATAGAAAAAGTTTCACAATTCTAAAGGTATAGAATAAAACATAATTCATAAAGATAAATGGCTTCATTCACCAGAAGATTTAATAATTCTAACCTTTCATTAACACAGCCTCAAAATAGATGAAGAAAACATAAATTGTAGTGGGAAACTAACATACCATTTTCAAAAACTGATAGAACATGTGAATTAAAAATTAATGAAATATGGAGTATTCGAATAACGCCATAAATTTGACCAAACTCATGCAGATCTCATCTTTAACAAGCGCAGAAAATACAAATTTTCCAGGCACACAAGGAATATTTATAAAAATTAATCATATGCTAGACCATAAAGCAAATTTCACCAATTTCCCCAGAATTAAAATCACACAGAATGTTTTCTGACCAGTGTAGTTAAGCTGGGAATAAACAACAACTATAACATCTCCACATGTCTGGAAAACAATAAATGCACTGCTAAATAACGTACGGGTTATTAGAGAAGACGTCATAATGAAAAGATTTTGAAATAAATGATGATATAAAACGATATATCATACTTTGTGGGATGCAGCTAAAGCCATGATTAGAAGAAAATTTATCATCTTAAATACATGTATTAGAAAAGAAAAAAGGCTGAAAATTTAAAAAACCTAAACATTCAACTCAATGAGTTAGCAGCCATAATATTATAAAAGTGAAACAGCTTACAGAAGAAAGTGGAAAAAGAGTAGGAGGAGAAAGGGGCGTTAATATCCTCACTGTACAAGGAGGGGTGTCAAATGATGCTCTCAGAAGTCAACAGAAGAAGAAACGCACTTTTTAAAGTATCAAAAGGAACCAATACAATAACTAAAACTTACCATAAACACCAGGTGATAAGGAGTACAAGGGAGTGATATAAATGAGCTAAATCTTCATTTTTCCCAAAGAGAGGGTCTAAACTTGGTTTCAAGTTGAAAGGAAGACTATGCATATCATCTACAGTTAAGGAAGTAAGAAACAGAAGACCAAAAATAAAAACGATTAAAATGATTTGCCTTTGGGGAGGACTGAGGATAGGGAGGAAAGGAGTGGAGCCAGCCACTTTTCATCCTAAGTTCTTCTATACTATTTGATTTGTTAACAATGAAACAATGAAAAGCAAATATCCATGAAGATGATGAAATTGGCAACTGCGCTGAAGCTAAGAATGAGAATATATCTAACAGTCTGGGCTGCCTCCTTCTCGCACTGGCAATGGAAACCTTAAGAAATACTTTATTGGACTACACATATTTCATCTTCTAAAAAAAAAACATGCACAGTCATAAAGGAGATAGGGAAAAAACAGAGTCACTGCTAGTGTCTGCCTCCAACCACAGAACGCGAGGTCATAGAGAGCAGAACCACTGAGGGACAGTCCCCAGAGGCAGCCCTGCTCTCCTGAGAGATGCGCTCCAGCACCTAACTCCCATCTGCAGGGCTGGGCAGGGGACGGGGAGACTGACCACACTGAATCCCCTGGGAGGAATGCGAGAAGAGGAGCTGCAAGCATGTGAAGACAGGAAGACAACTGAGAGCCGGGGATGCTTTCTCAGTGGACTTCAAAAAGAGCTGCAACAGATTCTCACACGAAGCCTGAGCGAATAGAAGACAAGCCGCCCCGCCAGCAGATCACATCAGGCACCTGGAACCAGCCAAGGTCTCTGTCAGCCTCCCCTCCACATCTGGTTCAGACGAAGGCAAGCTGGAAAGCACCCATAGGCCAACTGAGCAGCCAATGGCACTCTAGACACGTGAAGTGTTGGGAAAACATTATCTACTAAAGGTGAAGAGAGGCATACCCTGTGACCCAGCAATTTCACTCCTGTAAACTAGAACTCAAGCATAAGAATGTTGGTGACAGCATTGTTTGTAATGTAAAAAAAAAAAAAAAACACTTAAAACAACCCAAGTGCCCCACCAACAGTAAACTGGATAAATTATGATATATTAACATAACAGAATATTATACAGCAATGAAAATGAGTCAACTACAGCTATACACTGCAAAACACATGAATTTTTAAAGCAATACTGAGTAAAAGAAGCAAAACAAAATAATGAGTCCCACGGCTTCATTTATCTGAAGTGCAAAAGCAGGCAAAACTAAGCTGTACTGTTTAGAGACGCACACTTAGGAGGCAAAACGCTACAGGAAAGCAAGAAAAAGACTACCAGGTCAGCGTTATGATGCCTCGAGGGACAAGGGCAAGGGCTGTGACCAGGAAGGGCTGTACAGGGGGCATCTAGGGGCTGTTTCTGGACCTGGGTGGTAGTTACATAGGTGTTCACATTATAACCATTTATTAAATTCTGTGCATATACACATATATACGTGTACTTTTTATGTATGCTATTTTTTACAGTAAAAAAATTAAAAAAAAGAAAGAGTAGGTCCAAGAACTTTAAAAAGTAGAAATATAGACAAACTTCTCTGAAATCTACGTGAGAAATTTAAAAGAAAACAAAAGAAAGAGAAATAACATATAAGGGATGTATAATACTAGAGAATATGCTTGAGAACTGAAAATAATTCACATACAACTTAGTAATTACACTAGTAGGAATCCATCCTACAAGTCCTAATCATAGAAAAAGCTTATCTATTCAATGTTCTTCACAGCACCATTTATACTAGCAAAGAAATGAAGATAGGCTAATGACCAGTGCCAGAAACCATGGCATTTGACATGAACAACACAGCACACGGGGTACTCCCATGCTATCCTACGCAACAATTATCCCAGGATATTGCTGACTTTGCCCTTCTCGCTAAGCTATAAATCTGAGGGCATGGACAATTTCTTATTCATCTATCCTTCCTTAGGACTGGGCAGAGTGCATAAAATTCAGTGAGCGCTCAAGATTTTTTTAATGGACAAATTAAGCTAATGTTTTTCCTTCTTGCAACGAAGGAATTATCTTTAAAATATCTTTTTCTCTTCTGAAGGAGTGCTGGCAGGAATGCTTCACATATTCAGGAGAAACCTTACTTTATTGGTGCGGTAGCTCCTTCTGGTCCTCCGAGCTCGGAAAGGGGCACGAGGTCCCACTTGAAGTGCAGGCCCCAGTTGAATCCTCCCCGCACCACAGGGGAGGAGCTGTAGGCAAGCGTGTCAGCACTGATGATGTCGATCACCGGGCACACCACCATCCGCCGGTCCTCCTGGATGACAGCCAGCAAGGGCTGCAGCCACATCACATTCACTTCACAGTGGCTGTCCAGGAACACCAGGACTTCTCCTAAGGAGGCAGACAACACGGGCCTCAAGATGCCGCAGCACTCCATGTCCGTGCCGCTGCCAGCTCAACGGGATGAGACACAACTACCACCCTTCCAGCCCAAACAATTAAACCATCACTTTATTGCTAATCAGAAAGAGGGAAATCTTTTGGCCAACAATTCTGCCTGAAGTGTACTGCTATGGCTAAGGAAGTAATATGCACAACTCTTGAAAAAATTTACAGACAATTCAGATTCTCCTCAGTAAAAAGATTCAAAATCTCACAGGAACAATTCAGTTCCTTGGAAAGCCAGGTACAGAGCGGGATGCAATGATAGTGGCTAGTTGTGTGTTGATATTTTTATTACAATTATTGTAATCAAAATATTTCTAAATTTAGTATATGGTTCCCTGCCTTAGTAAACAGAGGATAGGGAACATAACTCCACTTTCAATGGCGACTCAGAAACATGACCGCCATTACAGATTATTGCTACAACGCAGCAATTCTCTCAGCAGTGAGAGACACACGTACCCCTCTCGTCATGTCACTGATGCAGCTCCCTCCCGCCTTGATTCACCACCAGACTGAGATGTGCTCACTCTCTTTTCTTCCATTTTCCACCTTTCCTTTCCAATTCCCCCAACCTTGTTGGCTGTAGTGGTTTACACTTTTTGGGATACACTTTTCTTCCAGTTATTAAAATAAAAATTATGAAGATTTTATCTTGCATTTTTAACTCCTCTTGATAAATGGTAGCAGGAATAAGGGTTTCTTTGATAATTCCAAATTTCTTTGATAACTTCATGGTTCTTCTGAGCAACTGAGAAACTTAGAATCTCATCATCAGATAGCATGCTCATTATTCTAAAGGTTTACCCATGAATGTATCAATATAGATTTACATGAATTACTTAAAGCACCAGAGGCACCCTATTTTTCAATTAATGACAGTAAAAATAGCTCAGGCAGGAAAGCTCTTTATGACGACAGTCAGTCAGTTGTGTCATGCAATGTCCGCCAACTATATTATGAGGATGTAAGGAGCAGAGCCCACCAGGTGCCACTTAATGCAGAAAGGCAAGATGCTCAACCTGCAAACTATTCAGTGTGAGGAAAAGGAAATTCAATCAAGGTTCCTGTGAGCAGAAAATGTACGCACAGCTTTTCTTAATTCTAAAAATGTTACTTTTTCCAATTAAAGCCAATTTAACTAAATAAAGAAAGATTATACATGGTCACATTGAACCCAGGACTGATTTCCCAAAAACTAGCTTGTTTCTGACAGATCCTAAACTACCTTTAAACATGGACCAGCAGATTATTTAAAAAAAAAACCTAAATGACTATTGTTATCTGAAAAATTAAACTCTCAGTAATATTATAACAGTACAATATTTCAAATGGCTTAATCTTGCCACTCCCCACAAATACCCCACAATTTTCTCTCTACCTCATTGCCTTCAGCAAGTCAGTCAGTCTTTGAGCAGAATTCTAAAGAAGAAGAGCCCTAAGCCTTGCATCCAACCTGCGTGTGACTGCAGACTGGAAGGAGCGGAGCTACTTCTCACTTTTTTTTAACTGCTTTAGTTCACTGTAGCTTTAAGAGAAAGGAGGAAAGAAGAAAGATTCTCAAAACGAAGTCCCAACTAAACCCAGCAAATGGGACAGTGGGTGCACAGGACAGGTGGAGGCAATGAGCAGTGCCAACCACCTTAAACCCCAGTGACTGGTTAGCTTGAGAAAAGCAGTGTACAGGAAGGTAGGAGATGTTGCCACTAGTAGAGAATGGCCCCCAAAGTTCTGGAATTCTCAATTTACCTTCATGTTTTTGGGGTTTTTTGGCCATATCCATGGACTATCTGCAGTGTTATATACCTAATTATTTTTAAACAAATTCATTTAACTTAAATATTTTTTAAAAGGAAAATTTCTTATCAAGATCTTAAATGAAAATCAGAATCATCAACCTTACATAGAAGGAACCATAAAAAGAAATACAATGGAATTGATAGAATGTAACTGAAAACTGTTAGTGTCATCGAGTCGATTCCGGCTCCTAGCACCCCTGTGCACAGCAGAGCAGAGCCCTCCCTGGTCTCTTTGCGCCACCCTGTCCCCTTCCAGCCTATATCAGACACGCTCCGCTGCTATTCATAGGGTTTTCATCACCAGTTTTCTTGGCAGTGGGTGGCCAGGTCCTTCTTCCTAATCTGTCCTAGTCTGGAAGCTCCGCTGAAACCTGTCCACCACGGGTGACCCTGCTGGTATTTGAAATACCGGTAGCACAGCTTTCAGCATCAGAGCCACCACACGTGGCGACAACCAACAGACAGGTGGTATGGTTCCCTGACCGGGAAAAACTGAAGACTAACCAGATATATTTTTCAGGAGAGGACTGTGAATTTGATACCTGTTCTTTCTTTTTAAAGGGGGAGATTAATGTATGTTGGAAAGATTTTAAAGATATATTAGTACCAACAAGACTTTCTTCTTGATGGAATCAGAAGGTGTGAAAGGAAATTTAAAAGAAAATAACTTTAAAGCTATGTAAGTCAGTTTTTTACATTACATCCATTTACCCAACTAAAATCATGGTACATATCACCACTGGTATGCATTTGCGCTTTAAGAATTACTCGCATAATTCAAATCAGTTCAGGTACATATATTTTAAATTTCCTATTAAAAACATTATGAAAGTTCAGGGGCCAGCCCGGGGATGCAGCAGTTAAGTTCGTGCACTCCACTTCAGCAGCCCAGGGTTCACAGGTTTGGATCCCAGGCACAGACCTAGTACTGCTCATCGAGCCATGCTGTGGTGGCATCCCACATAAAATAGAGGAGGATTGTTATAGATGTTAGCTCAGCAACAATCTTCCTCAAGCAAAAAGAGGAAGATTGGTAACAGATGTTAGCTCAGGGCCAATCTTCCTCACCAAAGAAAAAAAACCCACAAAAGTTCAGTTGTATTTTGGACTTTTCTGCTTATATAAGTGAACAATATATATACTTACTTGAGGGACAGTAAGTAACAATAAGGGCCACAATGAAAATACACCAGTGAGGACTCCAGAGCTTACCTCCCTGGAGTCTGTGCTTTGGGATAGCAAGGATAAAGTTATAAAAAGGCCTTTCCAAACTGAACAAGCCAACTCTCTCCTCCCAGCAATGCCCATTGAAGATGCCACTTTCACAGACATCTGCAGAATCAGGAAGGGCTCCAAGGACACAGCCCTCAGCACTCAACACCCACCAAGAAACGCCAATGGGAAGTCATACCTGTTGCGTGAGCTGCTCCGATCATTCTTCCTCGAATCAATCCCTCACGCTTTGTATTTCTTATTACTTTAATTTTTCCAGGGAGGTATTTTTGGACATATTCATCTAGTTCTCCTTTCAAATCATCTGAAAATAAACCACATGAGACACATATAAAGACATTTTATAGCTACTCTAAAGGTGTATCTGGTACTTGCAACAACAAATTATCAAGTAAATTATATAATCGTCTTCTGCTTTATTTTAAAAGATCATAGCTTCTTATCCTGAAAGGAAAAAAAGGAAAGACATGAAGGATGACAGTTGGACTGCTGGCCAAGAGAAACATTTACCTTAGTTATAGTCACATTTGCATTTCCATAGCGACTAGCACAATGCTTTGCATAATGTTAGAAATGAATGTCTTGAGTGAATAAATGTTCAACTGACTGCATATAAATCAGACTTAAAACAAAGAAAATGAGATGTAAATATCTTTTGTTTCAAAGTAATTTATTAAGTCTTACTCCATTTCAGAATAGTTGAGACAAACTCTATTGCCCCTTCCAAGACTTATATAATAGCAGCACTAAACATGTCCTTGTATTAATTTAGCGCCTGCCAAGGGCACTAATACTTTTTATAAATTCTAGCTCATTTACCTTTAAATTTCATGATAACTGCAAAGATCAGATAAGAAGTAGTAATTCTTTCCATAGTTAGTATATACACCATTGTAAATTTTCATGAACTTCCCCTTTTAGATAAAATACCAAATAAGTGAAAAGCAAAATACAGGTTGACTTAAAAAAAAAAAAATCCAACACCATAAATTCTAGAATTTAGTATTTAGCCAATCGTGTACTTGGTCCAGACTCAGATTCTTGGTTTTCTAATCATTCATTTTTGAAATTAAGTTTTGTTTTATATTAACCTTTCTAAATTTTCTCCTGTGAGGTTTCCATATTTACCAAGGTTTGAGCATTTTACTCCCAATGGTCTCGGCATCCATTTCCTCACTTTGTATATTTAAGTATACTGGTATACCAATTCGGTTGTAAACATAGAAGGCGCTTAATAAAGACTAGAGGTATGAAAAAATATGTGATTGGCATACAATTTATCAGTGTTATCTCTGCAACTTGCCATAAGGAAAAGAGCAGAAGGCTTGGAGCTAAGTGGACCAGGGGTCTAATTTGAACTACACCAATTAACTGCTATGGGATCTTGAGCAAGTTACTTACTATTTCCTCCTCTGTAAAATGGGGATACAACCTATGCCACGAGGTTGAGCTGAGCTGAATGAGGAGCATAAATAAAAAGCCCTCCAGCCTGCCACGTGTACATGAAACCATTCTTAGAAGAGTCTGGGGTGAATTAAAGAAAGGTGTCTAAAATACGTACTGAATCATAAAATACTGGCATTCAGAGATCTAAGAGCCATCAGAATGCAATCCACTTCTATCTGGGGGCAGTCGGCGTAAAAGACTGACTAGATAAACATAAGCCAAGGCATTATGCCAGTGAAAAAAGCCAATCTCAAGGGCACATACTGAACAATTTGGTTTATAACACTCTTGCAATGACAAAATGCACAGAGATTAGGGCTGGCAGGAATTCGGGATGGTTGGGGGAGGGAGGTGGGTGTGAATACAAAGGGGGAGCACAGGGGAGATCCGTGCGGTGACGGAGTAGTCTGGATCTTGACTGCAGTGGTGGCTACAGGAGTCTATTCATGGATAAGATGACAGAAAACTGGACACACACATTGCACCAATGTCAAATTCTTGGTTTTGATATTGTGCTATTAATTATGTAAGATGTAACCAATGGAGGAAACTGGGTGAAGGGGTACACAGGACCTCTCTGTAACTTACTGTGAATCCACAGTTATTTAGCAATAAAAAGTTTTTTAAAAAAGCGTAAGCCAAGGGAAAAATTTAAAGGGCTAAATTTGGGTAGCACAGTTTGTAAAGAGGTTACAAAGGTACTGCAGTTCCTTGAAATCATCCTATAATCAACGGACGCGTGTGGGTGGCTCCATGGCAACTGCCCTCCGCATTGAATGGTCAGCTCTGCTGATGTTGTCAATACTAGAGTGAATGACGGCCTCGATCCTACATGACCAGTTACACATTCCTTACCAAAGTCACTGTCATCATCCACAAGGATAACTTCATGAAGAAGCCGGGCTGGCGTGCGGTCTAGGACGCTGTGCACGGTCCGGAGCAAGGCAGACAAGGCTTCATTGTAGAAACAAATAACAACGCTAGCAACTGGCAGGTCTGTGGGGTAAGACTTGTCTTTACATCTGTGAAAACAAATATGAGAAAATTCCAACATTTTAACAGGCTCAAGGGTTTTAGGTTACTATTCACCAAACATTAACTGGCCTTGTTGTTCAGCCTCTTCCTTACATTATGGTAACAATAATTTTTTTTAAAAATGATTTAAGAAAACAATGTGGTTTTTTTCCTCAAGGTTTTTACATTTGTTAATTATTTCTCTTCCCAATACTTGCTACTCTGCTTATTTTTAGGTCAACATTTTAAATTTTTTTTTTGAGGAAGCTTAGCCCTGAGCTACAATATCTGCTGCCAATCCTCCTCTTTTTGCTGAGGAAGACTGGCCCTGAGCTAACATCTGTGCCAACCTTCCTCTACTTCATACGTAGGATGCCTGCCACAGCATGCTTGATAAGTGGCACGCTGGCCCGCAGCCGGGATCCGAATCTGTGAACCACGGGCCGTCAAAGCGGAGCTTGTGAACTTAACCACTAGCCACTGGGCTGAGCTCCAGTGCAGGTTTTGTTTTTTTTTAAGATTGGCACCCGAGCTAACATCCACTGCCAATCTTTCTTTTCCCCCTTCTTCGTCTCCCCAAAGCCCCCAGTACACAGCTGTATATTCTAGTTGTGCCCACCGCAAGCTTTTAATGCAGCACTCATAAGCTGATGTTCAGCCTCTCCTCAATGAGGTTTCAAAAGGAAATAACAGAAATATGAAACTCTATTTGAAAATTTGACTTTTTTTGTCCAATAATAGAAAAAGATTTGGGTAAATCATGATTTATATATCAAGATAATGGAAGAGCTTCCACATAAGCAACTATCATGATCAAATGGGTTAGGTGGCTCTAAGGAACGATTAAAAAACCACTAACCTAAAGAATCAAATCCGGAATTCCACGTTCTTTGCATGGCACACAAAGTCTTCCCATGTCTGGGCCCTGCCTACCTCCAGCCTCTTGCCATTCTCCCACTACAGCCAAAGTGAACTGTTTCAGTCCCTTTGACAAACCATAAACAGTCATGAGCCACCTAACAACGTTTTACTCACTGGACCACATGTGCAACAGTGGTCCCAGGAGATTAGTACCATAGAGCCTAGGTGTACAGTAGGCTATGCCATCTAGGTTTGTGTAAGTACATTCTCTGATACTCACACAACAACAAAATCACTTGACAATGCATCTGACACATTTCTCAGAACGTATCCGTTGTTAAGCGACACACGACTGCAGTTCTGTGCCATAATCTGTTCCCTATACAGTAGTCCCCCCTCATTCATGGTTTCACTTTCCACAGTTTCAGTTACCCATGGTCAACTGTGGTAGGGAAACATTAGATGCAAAATTGCAGAAATACACAATCCATAAGTTTTAAATTGAGCAGCATTCTGAGTATCGTGATGAAATCTCTCCCCACCTGGACGTGACTCAGCCCTTTGTCCAGCGTAGCCAGTGTATTCACCACCCGTTAGTCACTTAGCAGCCATCTCTTATCAGATCGATTGTCATGGTATTGTGCTTCTGTTCAGGTAACCCTTATTTTACTTACTAATGGCCCCAAAGTGCAAGAGCAGTGATGCTGGCAATTCAGATATGCCAAGGAGAAGCAGTAAAGTGCTTCCTTTAAGTGAAAAGGTGAAAGTTCTTAACACAAGGAAAGGAAAAAAACTGTATGCTGAGGTTGCTAAAATTTACGATAAGAACAAATATTCTACCCGTGAAACCGGGGAGAAGAAAAAAGAAATTCGTGCCAGTTTTGCTGTCACTCCTCAAATTACGCGTGTATAGGAAAATACACAGAATATATAGGGTTCGGTGCTTTCCGAGGTTTCAGGCATCCACTGGGGGTCTTGGAACATATGCCCCACAGATGGGGGGACTACTGTACATGGAGAAACCTCCCCTTGCATCACAGCTCAGTCATCACCCTCTGTGAAGCCTTTCCTGACCACTCTGGCTCGGAGGCCCCATTTCACTAATTCCTATCACAGCCCTTACTCTCATGCTACTGCAATTACTCGCTTCCTTATCTACCTCCCCTGCTGGACTCTAAGCCCTGCGAACCCAGGGACTATTTATTATTCTGTTTATTTCCAGGGCCTAATACAGTGTCTAGCAAACAGAAGGTGCTCAAAAAGGTCTGTCTGGGAGTGACTGACTGAGCCACCACATGAATGAAAAGCCTTTCAAGAAACAAAAGTAGTGGGGCCAGCCCCGTGGCAGAGTGGTTAAATTCGTGCGCTCTGCTTCAGCGGCCCAGGGTTTCGCCAGTTCAGATCCTGGGCATGGACATGGCACCGCTCATCAAGCCACACTGAGGCGGCGTCACACATGCCACAACTAGGACCCACAACTAAAAATATACAACTATGTACGAGGGGGCTCTGGGGAGAAAAAGGAAAAATAAAATCTTCCAAAAAAAAAAAAGAAACAAAAATAACGAAAACAGAAAAGTGAGATGATGAGTAAATTCTCCACTGATTTTAATCCCTTTTTGCCCTGAATCCAATAAATAAACATTTAAAAACAAATTTATGCTCAGAAGCTTATTTAATTATATGCAGTTAGCACCTCCCTCCTTTTCCCCATGATTTTAAATTTCAAAAGAGACACAGCAAGCTCTAGAATTTTGTCAGCACAATCTCAGACTACGTGGCTGCAAGCAGTAAGAACGGAAATCTGTCTCAAGTTCTCTGGCGCCCAGAATAACGAAGCCTAACTGCAAAATACCAACACCGTCCTCACGACCTGTTACACCGGCACCAAAAGCACTGCTGTGGAAGGATTAGCAGAGGCTCATGAGGAACATACGCTGCATTCCTCGTATCTGGCACTTCTCGGTGGTAGCCCAAGCGGTTACTGATGAGCATATTGAAGGCATGCTTCTGATAGCCCAAGTCTCTCAACTCCTGATCACGCTCATTAAAAATCATACCTGCAAAAGAGGGAAGTTGCAGTCAGTGCATCCATCTGAAGGGACTACTATAATTATTATTAGGATACTACGATCTCAAGAAAATCTTGACTTTAACCTTTTATAACCAGATAATAGCCATGTTTCTCAAATCTAGATTGTCTTCATTTTCAAAATAGTAAATTAAGCTTAAAGTCAGATTTTTATCAATCTAGCTCAAAAAGCAAGTAAGCAAGTATACCTTAACCGTAAATGACATCTGCTTATTAGCCATAATCTTAAGAATATTTTCAAGAAAAAGCTTACCGATGACCAAGAAAAAAGAGACTTGATGATGATTCTTTTCCATAAAGGCAACAGATTATAGAACCCCTATGGATCTCAAGAGGCCCCAATTACAGGCAAGTTTTGTACGGACCCCTCCCCTAAAAAAAAGACTCTGGATAAATCTTTCTATAAAAAGTCTCTGGCTCTAAACTTTAATCAGTTTCGTAGTCAAGAAAGTCCCACACAGATCTAATCGAGATCACCGTAACTTAACATCCTTGCTCCCAAATTCTGTCAGAAATCTTACCTTTACCTAGAACAATAAAGTCTCCTTTTGCTTTCTCTTTCCTGTACCAAATCTTTAGCCTCTTCTCACAGAATGACTCCCTTGTAACAGCATTTCCCAAAGTCTGGTCATGGAAAACTAATTCCACTGGACATTAATAGATGTTAAAAAGAAAAAGAGGATTCCATGGTCAAATAATTCAGGGAAACGCTGGATGTTAGAAGTCGAGGAGATCTATTTTCTACAGCAGGATGACACCGGTCCTTTGATGTCTTATGGACACCCACGTGTGCGGGGAAGGAACACAGAAGGAGGCGTCTCCTCAATTTATTTGACCAGAGGTGACTAGAGCCCGCAAGTCCACTTTGGGAACTCACTTCTTAATACGCTTTCTCTCTGGAACTTTTAAAGCTGGAGGACATCCTTTTTTAAATACAAAAGAACAAAGCTCTATCAGCATTCTACACAAGAATGGAAACTCCATGAAAGCAGAGACTTTGGTTATGTTCAAAACATAAAAGAAATAAAATAAAAATTGCTAAATACCCAGAATCCAGAACAGTGCCTTGTACAAATTAGATTAGTAATAAATATTCCTTGATTGAACAAATATCAAACGGTGGACTGCCTCATACTGAATAATAAAAGAATTATTTTCTAATACAGACCTCTTGATGAAAAATTATTCCATATTAAAAGATCAGTTTATATCCATCAACAAATGAATAAGAAAATGTGGGGTATATATACAGTGGATTATTACTCAGTCATAAAAAGGAAGGGAATCCTGCCATTTCCAACAACATGGATGGACCTTGAGGGCATTAGGCTAAGTGACATAAGTCAGACAGAGAAAAACAAATACTGTAATACTGAATGATCTCACTTATATGTGGAATCTAAAAAAAGGAAACTCATAGAAACAGAGAACAGATTTGTGGTTGCCAGAGGCTGGCAGAGGTAGTAAGCAGCAGACTGGGTGAAGTTTGTCAAAAGGTATAAACTTCCAGTTAAAAAATAAATTAATTCTGGGAATGTGACGTAGAGCATGGTGACTACAGTTAACAATACTGTACTGTATATCTGGAAGTTGCTAAGAGAGCAGATCTTAAGAGTTCTCATCGCAAGAAAAAAACATCTGTAACTATGTGAGGTGATGGATGTTAACTAAATTTATTGTGGTAATCATTTTACAATATATACATATATGAAATCCTTATGTTGTACACCTTAAACTAATACAATGTTATATATGTCAATTATATATCAGTAAAACTGAGGAAAAAAGATCACGTTAGCTTACTTTTTCTCCCTCCCCTGCTCAAATAAAATTACAGCCAAATTTCAATTAAATGGTATCTCATTGTGGTTTTGCTTCGCATTTCTGTAAAAACTAATTATGTTTAACATCTTTTCATGTGACAGTTGGTCATCTGTATATCTTCTATGGACAAATGTCTATCAAATCCTTTGCTCATTTTTAAATTGGGCTATTTGTCTTTATTGTTGACTTCTAAGAGTTCTTTATATATTCTGGATAATGGACCCATTAAGAGAGATGATTTGCAAACATTTTCTTCCATTCTGTGGGTTGTCTCTTTTCACTTTCTTGATAGTGTTCTTTGATGTACAAAATTTTTAAATTTCAATGAGATCCAATTTATCTATTTTTTCTTTTGTTGCTTGTACTTTTGGTGTCATATCTGAGAAATCATTGCCAAATCCAAGGTCATGAAGATTTATCCCTATGATTTATCCTAAGGGTTTTATGATTTTAGCTCTTATATTTAGGTCTTTGAACCATTTTGAGTTCATTTTTACATATGATATGAGGTAAGGGTCCAACTTCATTTTTTTGCATGTGGGTATCTAGTTGTCCCAGCACCATTTGCTGAAAAGACTATTCTTTCCCCATTAAAGGGTCTTGCACCCTTTTTGAAAATCAATTGACCAGAGATGTCACTTGACGGTGGAGGTCATAGGGTTTATTTGTGAACTGTCAGTCTATCCACTGATCTATATGCCTGTCCTTATGCCAGTAACACACTGTTTTGATTACTGCAGCTTTGTAGGAAGTTCTGAAATTGGGAATCGAGAGTCCTCCAACTTTGCTCTTTTCCAAGATTGTGCTGGCTGTTCAGAGCCTCTCGCAATTACATATTAATTTTAAAATCAGCTTTTCCATCTTTTCAACAAGGGCCATTGGGATTTTGATAAGTTTTGCATTCAACCTGTGGATTGCTCTGCGTAAGTACTGACATCTTAATAGTATTTAGCTTCCAATCCATGAACCTAGGATGTCTCTCCATTTAGTTAAGTCTATTTTTATTTCTTTTAGCAGTGTTTTGTAGTTTTCAGTGTACAAATCTTACACTTCCTTGGTTAAATTGATTCCTAAGTATTTTATTCTTTTTGATGCTACTGTAAATGGAATTATTCTCTTAATCTTATTTTCTGACAGTTCACCACTAGTGTACAGAAATACAACTGACTTTTGAGTGTTGATCTTGTACCCTGCAACTTTGCTGAATTCATTTATTAGCTACAATAGTTTTTTCTGGGTATTCTTTAGGATCTTTTATAAAGAATTTAGTTTTTCAGTTAGGCAATTTGGGTTTGTCACTTCAAATACTTACAATTCTCTCATTACTACTTTAAAGGCAAATGCAAAGTTCATTCAAAATGGTAAACTCAATGTTATTTCCTTATAAAAGTTTTAGCAAAATAACTAGGAATAAATTAAAAAATGAGAAATTTTCCCATTAATGCTTTGTAAATGTCTAAATGGCTGTTTGGAAAAGACTGGAAGATGTGTTTTATAAAAATTGAAGCAAGTATTAGCTTCCATTTTTTCCTCATATAATTTTAAATACTTTTCACTTCATGTATTATAAAATGATTAAGTCCTAGAAATTGATTTTATTTTTTTGAAACTATGATCAAATTTCTTAAATGTTTTAACATTTTCTTTATATTCTGTGGCTCCTTCAATCTCTCAAAATCTTTTACTACACACTTTTACTCCTAAATTACTTACTTATGTTTTTATGACAAGATCAAAGTTCTTTTTTTAAGCTTTAAAGATAACCAAAATGGTTCATTTATCCTTTAAGATAAAATTTGCTAAAACCAGGACTCTAGTATTCAAAGTAATGAAAGACATATACAGTAGATTCTTGTTTCCAAATTGAACAGAATATATTTTTGAAGGAAAAAATTTCTATTTTATGCTAAGTATTTATAAGCTCCTATACTTAGTAAATATATTCCAATACCTTAATAATTCTTATAGGTAGAAATCTTACCAAATATAAGCAATCTCAGCTTACTTCTAAATCTGGTTTATGTTTTGTTTTAATTAACTCTGCCTTTCAAAATATGTTAAATATAGTCAAGTAACCTTTTGATCATTTCTTTCCCTTATTAAATAATGCTAGCAATTAAAAACTTCCCCCATAGGTTCCACCTTCTTTCCAGCCACTTAATTTTTCACTCTTTTCCTCATTCTGGACCTTATTAGTTTCTCCCAAGTCCATAAAATACTGAAGTCAGAATTGGACAAATTAGAATATAACTCCTGAGTGCAAAAATCATTGGACTTCAGCCAATTCACGAACAAAATACACCAGTAGGGGGAAAAATACATTTCTAATCCCCTGAGCAACACCTGATTTAAATAATTAAACTTCCAATGATTACATACTTTGACACGCTACAGCAAAAATCAAATACACTTACCCAATTCAGAAGAGAATTTCACGTTGTCTTTTTCTGAATCTTCAATATGATTATTATCTCTCATATCATCAATTTTGTTTACTTTGAACTGTGATTCTAATACTCGACTTGGACCTCGAGTGAAACGGGGATAGAACTTTTTGGGGAAAGGTCCATGGGGCCCAGACCCCTTGATGGGCACATTCCTAAGTGGCTGAGTCACTTCACTGAAGTTGAAATACACAAAAAGCAAAACCGTCCAGGTCGCAGATGTAAAAAGGCATCCGTAACAGAAATATCGAACTGTGACACTTCCCATTATAGACCTAGCATAGCTGAGGGGACATTTTCAATTTCCTGAAAGAGAAGGATAGATATATTAGACACTTTAGCACACTTGTAAATCATCCACCAAGTTCACATTCACTGTTTTCCAAACCACCAAGCACCACTTCTGAACTAGTTACTTAGGATCCCTATGCATACATACCGTTAATAAAGATTCAAATATAAGAAGACATATGGATAGCACCGAATAAAAAAATACAGGGATTCAACAATTAAAACCACAGACCAATGTGTTAATGCTCAGAAAACCAAGGGCTGCAAAACAGCTGACTTACTCATTTGTTCACGTTAATGAATAATTCTTCACCTTTGTTCTGGACTGCTTTCAGAAAGCTCGGTAATTTTTTTCAGGTTCTAACTTCTCATGAGGAAAACCTAAGTACTACATGTGTCACAATGGTACATCTAAGGTCCCTTCCAACTGCAAAGTTACAACTCTTTTAACTCAAGGATCTTAAAATCTGTTATTAAAAATAAACAACTTGAAAAAATAGTTCTACTTTCCAAAGATTAAACCTGCCCTAATGCCTACTCTTGATTCAACAATTACATTTCAGATTTATAACTGAAAGACTTCAAAATAGAATTCTATTTTCCCTCTCCTTATGATGCCCTGTAAACAAAATGGCCCTGAACAGCAATTCTTTCCGAAGCTTGTCTTCGGAGGCCTCACACAACTTGCTGAGGAATCTTTGTAAAGGGCCCAATGCACAACAAAAAACAGCCTCACTGAACAGTTTTGCAGAGAAACCCTGTATATATACACACAGAAGAAATCTACAAAGCAATACTGCTTCTACATTATTTATTTCCATACTACGAAATAATTAAAAAAATATTATCCCCTCAAAGTCAGGACAAAGCAAGTCAGCATCAGTAAGCCCCACTTCAAAAATTAAGGTGTTTTGTACAATGTTACGTAAGCCTAGAAGACAGTAAACAGCTCAATTTCTTGACTATCTGCCAACCAAGAACTATTATTTCTTTCACTACATGTCAATTCAAAAGCTTTAGAAACAAAAGAAACCACCACCACCACCAGCACCCAAACAGAAACTCCCACCACAGTAATACCAGAAGGGCAGCTGGAAATAACCGCAGCAGAAAAGGAAAGTCAGGCACCAATGAAAGTGCTGTCATGTCAGCTGTTAGCGCTTTTTTAATTAAAGACATGCACAAAAAAGCAACCACTTTATTTAGAAGTGGAAGAAAACGTTCTCTGAGCAAAGTGAATGGAGCCAACAAAGCAAATGAAAAGTCAAAGACAGCTGTAAATTTGCAACTTGCAACAAAAATGTTGCAAAGAATACAGAGTAGAGACATTTAGGTAAAACATTAGATTTCAACTAAAACAGACATTGAAACTTCCTAAAATATGTGCTTTGGGGACAGGCAAGAAACAAGCAAGCAAACATCAAAAATAAAAGTACTTCTTTCTCAAAAGGCCATGAAATCCTGAAGTTCAAGACTAAGTGTACAGGCTGCTCAATTCCATAAGGAGCTGTGCATCTAAGGAGGCGTCCCCTCTTCAACAGATGTACAATGACATTTCTATTTAGATTGTTTTCCTCAAACCACTCCAGGCCTTCCCATTTCCATCTTGGCCTCCTTAACTCGGAACACAGAAAGGAAAGGGACCAAGAGGGAAAGCCAGCCAATCCCTTCTTCAGTCACTGGGAAGTGAGAGGTCACGAATCAGGGGCTATTCCATCAAGCAGCTCGAACAACTGGCGGACACTCAGACATTCGGCTCACATCTTTTTCTTTATTCCAAATCCCACGAGCATGTCGGGCAATGTCCAGAACCCTTCAAAACTCTAGCTTCAACATCTGATGCATGTTCCTCTTATAACCTTCACGCATATTCTACTTAAGCAGCCCTGCCCCCACCCTTGACTTCATCATCACCAAGACCTGATTTAAGGACCTCTCAAACCTTAAAAACCTCCCTCTGACCACTACCCTCACTTTGCCACTCTGACCCACACTGCAACTACTCTTCAACCTCACTGCAGGCAAAGCCTGGACACTCCACTCCCCTTCTCTTACAGCTTACATTTCGTTTCTGTCCCCAGCCACACACCCCTTAAAGGCTTTACAGCCATGCACTGCTTAAGACTGGAATATGTTCTAAGAAATGTGTTAGGTGATTTAGGCCTTGTGCAAACTCATAAGAGTGTACTGAAAGAGAACAAAATTTACCACCCCAAAATATGTCTTATTTAACATGAAGATTATTTTAGGCTGATTATTTTTAAGAAATAAAACACAAAGTTTTTCTACTCCCCCTTTAACTGACTAAAAGAATTCAAATTAAAAAACCTCTCTCAGGAGGAGAGCTATCACCTTAGCATAACACAATCTGGGTGGTAGACAGGGAGGCACCCAGAAAAGCCTGTTTGTTGGCTCCCCCCTGTGCTCCTCTGTTTCTGTGTGGCCAAACACTTGTTTTCCAAATGTTTGCTCCTTTTCACCTTCCAGCGAATTCCTTCATTTCCTTTGAAGTCCCTGCCTCTCCCCAACCCAACATCTTTGGTCTTTAGCTGAAGATGGTATTTAAGGTGAGGGCTTCAGCCATTTTGCCAAGTTACTTGATTTTCGTGGGTTTCTCCCATGTACACATTGTTACACTTTTGTTTTTCTCCTGTTAATCTGCCTCATGTCAATTTAATTCTCAGACCAATGAGAAGAACATGGAAGGGTAGAGGAAAATTTCTTCCTCCCCTATAGCCCTTACACAAACCTAGATGGTATAGCCTACTGCACACCTAGGCCATACAGTACTAATCTCATGGGACACCATCATAAACGTGGTCCACTGTTGACCAAAATGTTATGTGGCACCTGACTATACTTCCTTCCTTATCTAGTTTGGAACTTGATGTTGGATAATACTAGAAAGTGGTAAGTGCTAAAGAGAAAAAATAACGTGCGGAAGAGTGATACGAAGTAGAAGAGGGTATGTGAGGTTTCCGGTAGGTGGCTAAGGAAGGCCTCACTGAGAAGGTGACAGCCAAGTTGAGGCCTAAACAAAATGAAGTTGTGCGCACTGCAAACACCCAGGGAAGACACATCCAGGAGTGGGCAGGGAGGGCCAAAGCAAAGGCCCTCAAGAAGCGGTGTACCTCGTGAGGCCAGAGAGCTTGCATCATATAGAACAAACGCTCTGATCACAAGACAATTAAGTTAAAAAATAATCAAAGGCAAAAAGATAACTAGAAAATCAGAGAACGTCTAAATGGAAATTAGAAATTATTTAGAACTAAATAGTGAAAATACTACTTTTCAAAACCTATGAGATACAGCAAAAGCCAAATTTTATAGCCTGAGATGCTAATGTTAAAAAAGACAGCCCAGAAATTATGAATTTAGAAAAATATAATTGAATAAATCCAACAAAAATGAAGAAAACAATAACTGTGTCAGGAATTAGCAGAAAATAAAGATGAAACGATAACAAAAGCCAAAGGCTGGTTCTTCAAAAAGGTCAATAAGGGCCAGTGCCATGGCCTAGTGGTTAAGTTCAGTGAACTGTTTCAGCAGCCCGGGTTTGGTTCCCAGGCTCAGACCTACACCACTTGTCGGTGGCCATGCTGTGGTGGAGAATCACATACAAAACAGAGGAAGACTGGCACAGATGTTAGCTCAGGGCAAATCTTCCTCAGCAAAAAAAAAAAAAAAGATAACATTAACAAAGCACTGGCAAGACAAATCAAGAAAACAAAGGGGAAGTAGAAATAAACAACAACAAAAATGAAAAAGAGGGCACAAATAGATGCAGATTAAAAACAAAAGTGGTGTGGGGCCGGCTTGGTGGCGTAGTGGTTAAGTTCCTGTGCTCTGATTCAGCAGCCTGGGGTTTCCAGGTTCCAATCCCCCGCACAAGACCTACATACCACTTGCCAAGCCATGCTGTGGCAGGCGTCTCACATATAAAACAGAAGAAGATGGGCACAGATGTTAGCTCAGGGCCACTCTTCCTCAGCAAAAAGAGAAGGATCGGCGGCAGATGTTAGCTCAGAGTTAATCTTCCTCACCAAAAATAACTAACTAAATAAATAAATAAAAGTACTGTTCATAAGCCAAAAGTTGGTTCTTTAAAAGGATCACTAAAATTAACTAAGCACTGGCAAGACTAATCAAGAAAAAAGAGAGAGAGCCAGCCCTGATGGTCTAGTGGCTAAAGTTCAGCGCTCTCACAGCTCCAGGGGCCCAGGTTCAGTTCGCAGGTGTGGAACCACACCACCTGTCCGTCAGTTGCCATGCCGTGGAGGTGGCTCACATGGAAGGATTAGAAGCACTTAGAACTAGGATATACAGCCACACACTGGGGTTTTAGGGAGGGGGAGAAAAGAAATGGAATTCCAGAATTTCTAAAGAAAAAACAAAGGAAAAAGAGAGAAAGGAGAAATAAAGCAAAAAATGAAAAAGAGGGCATAAATATAGATGAAGCTTAAAAATAAAAGTGTTGTTCATAAATTTAGGTAAAATGGATAAACTCCTAGAAAAACATAAATGCACAACACTGACTGGAAAATCAGGAAACTTGGATGGCTTTATAGTCCTTTCGAAGATTAAACCATTACAAAAACATTTCTAGACAGTTTTACAAGTGAGTTCTATCAAACATTTGAGGAACAAATGATTCTAGTCTTATATGACTGCCTCCAAAGAACAGAAAAAGAGGAAACATTCCCCATCTCATTTTCTGAGGCTATTATGACCCTGATATCAAAGCAAGGACAGTATAAGGAAGGAATATTAAAGACAATCTCAGAGAGATTATGAAGATCTTAAAGAAAACATTAAAACCGAAACCAACAATGTTTTTAAAAATGAACACATCATGAACAAGTTGTATGTACTTCAGGAATACAAGGCTGGTTCAGTATTTGAAAACCTATTACTATTATCCACTATCTTAAAAAATTTTTAAAAACATATGATTTGATCAGTGGAGATAAAGAGTTTATTAAAATTCAACACTTGGGGCCAGCTGGCTCTGTGGC